ATCACTCTATAGCACTTCCCCCCCTCCCCTCCATCTCCCACCCTTTTGTCCCTCTCCTCATGACATTCATTCTCATCTTTCTTTTCCTTTTTCCTCTCTAGCTTCTGCATGTGAGAGAAAACATAAAACCCTTGGCCTTCTGAGTTGGACTTATTTTGCTTAACATAATCATCTCTAGTTCCATTCATTTTCCTGCAAATCGCATAATTTTATTCTTTTTTATGCTGAATAAAACTCCACTGTGTATATAGACCACATTTTCTGTATCTATTCATTCACTGATGGACACCTAGGCTGGTTCCATAGTTTGGCTACTGTGAATTCCGCTGTTATAAAAATGGGTATGCATGTGTCACTTTAGTAAAATGATTTAATTCTTTAGGATAAATACCAAGAAATAGTACAGCTGGATATGGTGGTTCCATGCCTAGTCTTTTGAGGAACCTCCATACTGATTTCCACAGTGGCTGTACTAATGTACAGTCCCATCAACAGTGTTAAAGTCTTCCTTTTTCTTTACATCCTCTCCTGCTGCTGTCACTTCTGCCAATCACCTTGTGACTTGCCTTGTTTTTCTCTTTCTCGTCCTTTTTCTTCCCTTCCTCATTTTCTCCCTTCCATTTCTCCTTTTCCCAATCCCTTATCACATATCAGGCACTTAGCTCAAACATAGTGTGTGCACTTAAGTGCACAACACACTTTCCATTAGTAACAATGTTGATTCAACCCATCTGGGGCCAGTATTACCAAGAATCCCAGGAGTGACACTCCGGGAGTGACAACTGTGCTGCCTCCCAGTTCCTGGCTGTGCCCAGGCAGGCTGGAATGAGGACTTTCTGGAGACCAGGGACCAGGTGCCCTGAGAGAGATGGGAATGGTTCTGGTCATGTGATGCTCAGTGCCAGAATATTCATTGGTGTTGTTCATTCATTGGTGAAATTCTTTTGTTAGCTTTATTTTTATTATGTAGGAGGTGAGTTTTACAGGGGAGTGAGCTAGATGAAGCCTGGAGATGCCCCTTATTGACATTCTTAAAGGATAATCACATTCAAAGTCTCTGGGACTCCATCTAGAAATGGCACGAGGGCTCACCTCTGCTTCCCCTCTGTCCACAGGTGGGAGCCCCTAACTCTAAGCCCCTGAGGGTCTGCAGGTGGGAGTGTTAGTAGCTAGTCACCCAGGGTGTGCAGGGGAAGGACCATGAAGGTCCACTAAAGCCACAGGAAGCCTTATCTGATAGACAAGCACCTGGAAGATGGGGGCGTGGATTGTTAAAACCTCCCCCAGCCATTGTTACATCCCCTTAGAAAAAAACTAGTGTTTCAAGATCATGCCACACCCTACCAGGTGGCCTGGACCTTCCCTTGTCACCCAAACTATCACATCCCCCAATCTCTCAGGCAACCAAAACATCAAGACCCCCACAAAGAAAGCTTGTGGAGGCCTATTCACAGAGTAAAGGGGAAGGAAACTGAGGCAAAAACAGGAGGACTCAGTTTCCCAAAAAACCCAACACTCTGTGAGCACCACACTATCCTTTCTTCAAGGTTGTCTGTGCATTTCCTATGCTGTCAGTCAAAAGGTGAGCTTGGGCAGGACTCTCTGGAAACTTCCCTGGGACCCCCTGTTGTGGCACATCTAATCACTGGGTCTGTTCTTGGAGCAAGACACGGAGCCTTTATTTGCCAGTGGGTCAGAAGGGCAGCAGGCAAGTCACCTCTGCAACCTTCGACAACTTGCAGAAGGTAGGGTACACTCTTCATAGCCCCAACCACAAGCTACCAGTAAGTCAAAACCATAGCAATGTCGGGAGTGGGTCAGAATGATCCAGTACAGTCAGACAGTCAGGGTATGTTCCCCAAGAAAAACGGGAACCAAAAAGAGAGCACAATAATATATTGTATAAGAATAACAGAAACATTTTCCAACTGTCATGCATTTCTAAGCAGGGTGTGCTAAGCAGGATGGATATCATAGGCAGAGTTTTCTCACAGAAGTATTTCTGATTCGAAATGGAGTCTCAGCATAAAATGGAGTTTGTCTGGTCAAGGCACATATAGTTTGTCCCATAACACCTCAATAAAGCTAGAGGGCAGGAGGGGCCCCCTGTCCTCTCCTCTCTGAGAAGACCCACACTCTCTCCCTCAAGGGTGTCCCCCTTTCCCTTTTCCTATTCCTTACAGTAAACTCATGCTTGCTGCTCTGAGCTACACATCTGAAATCTTTCTGGAGTAACTACATGGATGGTGAAGAGGGGGCCTCCATGGCTGCCTCAGCTTTGTGGCAGACTTGTGTTCTGTTTCAGGAAGGGGTTCTTCTCTTACCTCCTTCCGTCTCCTCACTGCAGTTCTTGCCTTGCAGCAGCCCCAGGGTATGGACCACAGTGAGGAGATGTGACCCAAACCAGGAGAGGCTCTTGGAGGGCAGGAAGGAAGGAGTCCCAGGATGGGACAGGGGAAGGATGTCTTGGCCCCTCCCTTCCCGGCCCCACATCCAAGCACAGCTGGCTTCTCTCTGTAATTCCCTGCCCCTACCCTTACCCCTGCTTCTACTCTTCATCCTGGGCCCTCAGCTATACCCACTACCCACTGGCAACAGGTCAACTGCCCAGAACCAGTGCCATTCTGGGTCTCACCTGCATGGGTGGGGTGGGCAGAACCAGGAGGAACAGAGCCCTGCTTCCAGATACCCTGCAGGATGCTCTGAGTAGCTACAGAGCTCTGGATGTTGGTGTCTGGGTTTCCTTTTGCCTTAAACCCTCAAAATATGTACCAAAAGAAGTCTTGGGCTGGGGTTGTGGCTCAGCGTTAGAGCGCTTGCGTAGCATGTTCGAGGTCCTGGGTTCGATCCTCAGCACCACATAAAAATAAACGTATTGTGTACAACTATTTAAAAAAAAAAAGAAGTCTTAACTTGCCCCCATTCTAATCTCCATGTTTATTTTATTTATTTATTTTTATCATTTTGTTAATTAATTAATCTTGTGTGGTACTACAAATTGAACCCAAGGGTGCTCAACCACTGAGCTACATCCCCAGCCTTTTTAGTTTTTATTTTGAGACAGTCTTGCTAAGTTGCTGAGGCTGACCTTAAACTTTTGAATCCTCCTGCTTCAGCCTCCAGAGTAGCTAGAATCACAGGCATGCACACACATCTGGCTCTGTGTTTATTTTTAAATTATAATCAGGATAATATTTACAGACATGAGAACACCTGGGTTCAATTAGGTACTTAAGTCATTCATCTTGAGCTAATGCCTATCTATACTTAGTCTCATCCAGATCTCTCCTTAGCAGTCCCAAAGAATTAGGTTTTCTGGATCTTACATATGTGTCTTTCTCTTTGACTTCAAGGAAGCCTGATTTCAAATGCCCTGTAGATTAGAGACCTTCATCCACAGAGCTTTGGTTTTTTTTTTTTTTTTCCTTACAATTTCAATCGTTTTCTCTCCCTTGTGTCAAAATAAAAAGCAAAGTATTATAGCCACATCTGGCATTTGCAAACTGACTCCATGAGCAGTTTCCTTACTGGCCCACACTGGCTTCTAATGAAGATGTCCAGAAATAAGGCCCTAAGAAATAGAAAACATACATGAGCATGTTTTGTGAATTGCTAAAGCCATACTGGTAAGAGACCTGGCAACTATTCAGGTCACTGCTTTTGATCTGTAAGGAGACCAAGTGTGTGCTTTAAAAAGCATCTACTCCATTTATCATTATTAGTGCTGTCATTCAAGCTACTTCCCCTCAAAAATAAAACGCAAAAAACAAAAACAAAAACAAAACACTTTACACACATCTCCTATCCAAACATATAACTCTGGTCAGTCAGGCCATGGTCTGGTTGTCGCTTGGTTTCTGATGGGCTGTTTAAGCCAGGGACAGTCCACTGGGCAGCTACAACCTCAGAAAAGAGAGACTTTGGGCTGGAATTTTGGCTCAACCGTAGAGCACTCGCCTAGCACAGGCGGGACTCAGGTTCAATCCTTAGCACCATATAAAAAAATAAAGGCATTGTGTTGTGTCCATCTACACCCCCTCCCCCCGCAAAAAAAAAAAAAAAGAGAGAGAGAGAGAGAGGCTTGGAACAGGGCATCCAGGATGAAGGAGAGGTTCCCAGCCAGAGAAGATGCCAGATAACTCAGAGTCAGAAAAGCGCTCATGTTGAATGTAGTTTTAAAAACAGTTTCAAATAGAACACAAAGAGAGGTCTCTTTTTTTTGGAGGGGGGGTTGTTTGTTTGTTTTTATTTTTAACATAGTGTATGATGTTCTCTTTAAGATGCCAAACACGGCATCTCTCTAACCAAAGAAAGGCCTAAAATGAGAGGCAGAGTAAATTAACAAAATCTAATCTGGCCTGGGGCCTCCATCATTAGCTCTGAACACAGGCCAGGTATTCATTTTCAGGACTCAACATAGAGGTCTGAAGTGTACAGCAAGAGACAAGCGAGGGATTTCACTTCCCAGGAAAGTGAGTCTCCTTCAGGGGACAGTCTGCAGGGCTCTGCCCCTCGCCTCTGGCTCCCTCTTCCTTCCCTCCCCACAGACATATTGAGTTTCACACATTTAAAAATAGCCCATGAGCAGTCAGCACCTGTGACTGAGCCTGGATCCCAGCCCTAAAATGTGTGCCTCCCTTGACCCCGAGCTGCCTCTGTGAGCCCAATTCTATCTCCCCATTACCTTCCATGCAGCGTGAGAATTTTTTCTCTACCTAAGTAGGCCCACGTCACTTGAAATGTTCCCAGAGATGTGGGACTCCTTAACCAAGTCTGGCTTTCTTCACCTCCTTAATAATTCATCTGGCTTGTCTTCAGGAGGCTCCTGATGGCATCGCTTTCACTTTCTTACAAAACTCCCCTCAAATTCCCAGTGAATGCCCCCAACATGAGGACACGTTGCTGTTAAGGAGCAGTCCCTGCTCTACACAGCCCGTCCAAGCCCCAGAGAGGTGCACATGGCTGGGACGACTCTCCAGGCCCTGACAGACCATCCTGGCCTGGGAACCAATGCGTTTGTCCCACAGAGCCCCCAAGGAGATGAAGAAGACAGCAGGTCTGGAAGATATTTCAGTGAGGGTGAAGATCCACAGCACCTGAGAACTCCCCACCTCCCACCGTTACTGCCTGTGTCCCCTGGCTGCTCCCAGGTAAGTCTGTGTTCCTAAGGGAGGGTTCCTGGCCCCTTAAATTTGACCCCTACTTTCCTGACTCTAAATATTTTGCATTGCTGCAGTTAAGAGGTTGTGTTTTTCTAACATTCTTTCCTTTTCCAGAGGAGTCCCTTCACCTCCTCCCCATCACCTGGTACCTGTCTGTACCTCCCTCTGTGCTCAGAAGAGCTTTACAACAGTGGTGACTTTTTATTGAACGCATTGTAATGCCTGATACTCTGCTAGGTAGGGATTAATATCTGTATTTGGTAAAGAAATTGAAGCTCAGAGAGGTTAAGGAACTTTCCCAAGCTCACACAGTCTTTTTTTGTTTAATATTTATTTTTTAGTTTTAGTTAGACACAATATGTTTATTTTATTTTTATGTGGTGCTGAGGATCGAACCCAGGGCCTCACACGTGCTAGGCGAGCGCTCTACTGCTGAGCCACAACCCCAGCCCCACACACAGTCTTAATGGGCAATCTGAGATGGCAGATTTTTCTCTTACTATGATACAGAGAAGAGTGAAAAATACCGTGCATATGAAGAATCCAGCACAGTGCCTGGCACATAACAGGTGTGCAGTAAGGTCATACATGTAGTCACACGCAACTCAGAGGAGTAACACACTGATTTGGCTTTCCTCACAAACCCCACCTACTGGGTAGTGAAGAGAACACCTTTAAGAAGTCCCATCTGATAAATTTAGTAGGCTACAAAACCCAAAGAGCATCTTTAGATAACCATCAGTTGCCCCAGATCTGCCTCTCCCAGCTCCTCCTCCTGTAGGCTCCCAGAGATCTGGGGAAGGGCCAGCATTCCTGTGTCTCTCTGACTGAGCTCTGCAGGGATGAGCCTCATTCCTTCTGCAGGGCTAGGCCTCACTCACAGGGAAAAATGACCACGGCCCCCTCACCTCCTAGGGCCCCTCTGGCGTGTGCCTCTCTCTGTTTGGCCTAGATTGGCAGATCCATCCTGAGCTTTGGCCATGGGGTTATATTTCTGGGCCCCAGAAGGTCCAAATCACACCTGCATCCCAGCACCCACCATGCTAGGTCACTTGGGGGATGACTGGCCCTCCTGGGAACACCAGTCCACCCCTTAACCAGCTGACTGCTCCATGGAGGAGTGGGACCTCTTCTGGTGACCCTTCTCAGAGACAATTAAGTAGTTTAGGGACCCCAGTGTTTCCCTCAATTTCTCAGGCCCACCATTCCCAAAGAACACATCTCCCAGACATTAGGCAGGCCTTTCTTCTTCCCCATGCTCCCTTCTTCCCAGAAGACTCTGAGTCAGCCAGGCCTGCTCCTGATATGCTGAAAGGGGAGGTGGGAATTGGGACAGCCTCTCTCCCTGTTGCCTTGCTAAAGAAGTCAAGGTTCTGTCCTCGCCTGCACAGGCCTCCAAGCTTCCTGACACACACTTAAAGGTGGCAGCTGAGAGCTTACGGCAGCAATTGGAATGCAATGGTTTAATATTTGAAAAAGTGGTGTCCTCATTAGAATGGGTTAAGAGCGCGGGCTTTGGAAACAGAGAGGTTGGGTCTCTTGCTCTGTCGCCTGTTTCCTCAGACCACTTCCTTAAGCCTCTTCAATTGTCAGTTTCTTCATCTATGGGGAAACAATGATGTGAGGAGATGATAACGTGCTTTGCATAGTACTGGAGCACACGAAGTTGGAGCAGTATGGACCATTGTCGTTAGTGTTTTCCTTCTACCCTGTCATCTCCCTGCCTATTGGGGTGGAGGAATGAGGCGGTGCCGGGGGGGCCCTCTTGTCTTTTTCAGCAACTAGAGAGTAGAAAGGCCTCAGAGCTGGAACATAGGCAACCACAGAAAGACATATAATGTTTCATATTTAATTTTGACATTTAATAGTAGGAACACTAATTATCTAATATTAATAAAATAAAATTATATTTAATATTAATTTAACTTTCTATTTAAGTTTAATTTTAAGTTTCTTTTTAAAACTACATTTTCATTTTTAGTTAACATGTGATAGTTGTATGTACTTATGGGGTACAGTATGACGTTTCAAAACATGTTAATTAGTATATCTGTCATCACAGACATTTGTCATTTGTTCATGTGAACAAAATCCTCTACTAGGCATTTTTGAAATAGTCCATTTTTGAAATAGTCCAATATTATGTAGCACTAAGATAACTATGGTGTTGTCAACCATAGTTATCTTAGTGCTACATAATATTAGAAGTTATTTTATTCTTCCTGTCGGACTGTACCCTGGTACCCATTAACCATCCTCTCTCCATCTCCTCTCTCTCACACCCTTCCAGTGTTCTGGTCTCTAATAGTTTCATTTTATTATCTATAAAAGTAATTTATAAAAATTTTTTTAAAAAAGAGCAAATCCACCTTAATCCTGTTATCCCAATATAACTATTCCCTTTCAACCTTTTTCTCCTTAGACAGTATCTATATAACTCTCCTTATAATATTTATACATATCTATGCCATGGAGGTTTTTTAACGAAAAATTTTCTAGTTTGCAGCCTAAACATCATAACTGTCATTTCAGTGACTGGATAATATTCCAGACAGTGCGTGTATGTGTCATAATTTATTAGGCATTCCAGTGAGTTGTCAAGTTTTTATAGGTGCTTTATTTTTGTAAATTTCCATGGAATTTCTCAGAGACTGGTCAGTTGTTATTTCTTAAGACCATTGTAAAATGTCTAAGTAAAGTTACAAGAGTCACAGCTCCGTGGGAAGGAGTGTATGCGTGTATGGGTGGCATGGAGGACAGGGGTGTATGTGACCTTCAGTGACAGTGGTGTCCTCTATTACTTACATGGCAACTTTTGAGGGAACAATCCCCTGATCTTCAAATAGTTTCTCCTCAGCCCTCCGTTTTGGCCCTTGAAGTTTCCCTCCAGGATCATCTGTGGATTTGGCCTTTCTATTTCGGGGATCAGTCAGAGGCTCCCATTACTGGGCAGCGTATTGCCATCTGGTAGGCCTGCAGCAAGCAGCTCCTCAGATATGCTGGCCTCACTCCTCAGAGTTACCACTTCCTGCCCTGTTCTCTTAGGTAGCTCTTCCTGCATGTTGCCACACTCTCTGGAGAAGACCAGGAAGCACATCTGAAGCATTTTTTCATTCATTGAACAAATATTTATTGAGCTCCCACTATGCACCTAGTATTATTCTGAGTGTGTGACAGCACTGAGCAGGTCAGACTAGATCCGACCTCCTGCAACCTACGCGCTAATGGGGGAGGCAGACAATAAGTAAATAATAGGACTCTTTCTGGTATCAAAAACAAAATATGTGATAGTGAGTGACTGACACAGGGAGGGAACATCAGACAGGTGGTAACTTTGAATTCAGATTTAAGGATGAGAAGATTGATGGAAAATTGCCCAGAGAGAGTAAATTCCAAATGCAAAGTCTCTAAGGTGGGTGCAAGGTTGGTTGGTTCTAGAAATAGAGAAAACCAGGTGTCTGGTGAGCAGAGGGCAAGGTAAGAAAGGAAGAAGTCAATAGTCAAAGATGAGGTCCAGGCCTTACACTGGGCCAGATGTCACAGAAAGCAGGTTTTTTGTTTATTTGTTTGTTTGTTTTTTGAACCCTGGGTCTTGTGTATGCAAGGCAAGCACTCTACCAACTGAGCTATATCCCCAGCCCCAGAAAGCAGTTTTGACTTTTCTGAAGCACATGGGAGCCAGTGGAGGGTTTCAATCTGAGGAGCCACTTCATCTGTTTGTGTTCTACATAGATCACTGGCTGGTCTGTGGAGAATGGAGTCTGGGGAAACAGCAGTCACTGAGGAAGCTTTTGTTGTAGCCCAAGAGAAATGGTGGTGGTTTGACCAGGGGTGGTAGCAATGGATGTTAGAAATAGTCTGGATTTTTGTCGAAGAATTTATAGGACTTGTGAACAGATTAAAAATGGAATGAGAAATCACAGATGACTCCTAGGTTTCTGCCTTCGTAAGTGAGAGGTACCCCCTGACTCCAGTGAGGAACGTAGAGTAGAAATGGGTTATGGTGAACGGGGCTGGAGGGTTTTGGACATTTTATTTTAATTATTTATTTTTGTGGTACTGGGGATCAAACTCAGGGTCTCACATGTGCTAGGCAAGGAAGTGCTCTACCACTATCTTCCCCTATCTTAGTCACTTTAAATATCCACGTGGAGATGTCAAGTGGGCAGTTATTCAAGTCTGAAAATGAAGAGACAGTTGGTGAAATAACCTCTGTGAATACATAAGGCAGAACACAGGGGGCTTTTAAAGCCATGGAGCTGGATGAGGTCTCCAGAGGACAGGGTAAATGGACGAGAAGAAGGTTCAGAGGTCTGTGCTCTCCAAAGAAGGGGCATCAGAGGGAACCAGGAAGGAAGAGCCAATGAGGTTGGAAGCAAATAATGAGAAAGGGATGACCTGTCAGCCAAGATACTCCTTCTATCCACATTCCACACTATTATCTGTCTGAGATCAGTGTAGGTGGTCAGGAAATATTTTCAGGAAGCACAGGCTCTGGGGCTGCTTGCTTGTGACTTTCTATCCCCTGACGTAGACCTGGTTGCATGATGGGTGGACACTTGACTGGCTGACTGCTGGCCTAAGAAGCTAACAGCTCCCCACTATCTCTGACATCAAGGTTGACACCTCCAACTGGCTCCAGAGGCCTCACCCCAGCCCCCACCCTCCGGTTCACACCCTGTGGCCCACTGTGCACACCCTTCCCTCCTGGCAGGGCTCGCCCTACTCTGTGCCGCCTACGTGGCATGAGGCAAGCCCATTCCTGCCTCCTCTGGATTCTGCTGCTTCCCCTCCTAGAGTGCTCTTCCTTCTGTCCCTCTGCTGCTTCTCAGAACCTCATCCCCATTTCAAGGCTCAGCTCAGGGCTCAGCTCCCCCATTGCTCCATCTGCCTCCATTTTGATACCTGATGGACGTGCCCTCAGGACCACTCTTCTGTGTTATCCTCTGTGTTTCTGCTCTTTCCACCAGGCCATCACCAAACCATGG